ATCAAGGTAAAAACACTTCCTGATCTTTCAAGTTCAAAATGAAGTATCAACTGCTCGTAATCAAACTCCCTTCTTATTAAAAATGAAGTACAAAATCAACTTTAAAAAAAAAAATCAATTTGATATTTAGTTAGGAAAATCACTAAGTTGGTTTATAAGAGGCCGAAAGATAAAGTAAATAAGTATACTTGTTTTCTAAATTTGAGCAAGAAATGAAAATATATTATTTCAGTGTATTTTATAGTAGATGAATAACATTATTACTTTGATTTAAGCTAGCACATATATTTGCAAATTTTTTACATCTACATCCATATTTATAAGTTATTTCTTCTTTATTAGTTATATCCCCCTATATATTAATTCAAAACGTACTGAGCCTAAGTAGCAGGTTCGCACGCTTTGGAATCTTACATGTCACAATATCATTCTTTGTATTTATGTTCAGATAAAAATTTTGGAAACAAATTTGGTTTGGAAAGTGTCATAAATAATATTTTCACTATATATTATTGTCTTCCATCAATCTCTCTTTCATTACCAAATTTGTCTTGAATTTAAAATTCCCACAAATCTTCATTTCCTTATTTCATTTACTAAGAATTTTTCCTATTTATCATATATTTTTATTTTTTTAATTTGATAAACATCAAATTTTGATTTGATGATAAGATAAGGTTAAAGGTTTTGAATAATAAATTATTTGGTTTGTTTTTTTAGATTATTTGAGTATTACATGTACACGTGTGTCCTATTTAAAAGAATTTCTGTTATGTATGTTTATATATGTATATGCATAAGAATACCATAATTATGAGATTCAGTTATTAAAAAAACTGTATTGTATTGTATTTATTTAAGTGATGAGACGGTAAATTCAAATTCGAACTTAAAATTTGAAATTATGTCAGGATAAGTCTATCTGTTTAATGTTAAATTTTTGGGTTGTTTGTTTAAAATTTTTATTTGTGTGGAAACTTCATGTTAAGATTGTTTAAGTTAAGATTTCTTTTTCCGTGTAGAAAGATGATTAAAAATGACTAAGGGAATGTTCACGTATTTCCTCTTTAAATGAATTTTCTATTAGTATTATAGAGTGATATTTAAATAATAATATTATATTATAATATTGTTCAATATTAAGCATTTAGGTCTCTTATATTTATTATGTTGTTTAAACGTGTTGTTTAAATTATGATAGACCTGTGTAATGTACACGTGTTGTTTAAATTATGATATGATAAGTGTGCATGAATTAAATTTTAAATTATTTTGCTTATTTGTTTACAAGTTTTATTAGTGTGGAAACTTCATGACGAGAATGGTGTTGAATGTTCATAGATGCATTTCTAACGTGTCCTAAAATATGTGTTCTGTTACAATTTATATTCATAGATGCATTGATTCAGATATCAAAATTTTTATTATTTTTTTTTTGTAAAATTCAATTTTTTTTTGGAATTGTAACATTATTAATGTAATGTTATTATAATGTAATTTTTTTGGAATGAATTTTAAATTCTATTTTATGAGGTTTTTATGTTTGTATGTGTCCGATTAAAACATGTATTTGTATAGTATTATTTAAATTTTTATTCAATGTAAAGTTATACAGGAAACCAAATTGAATGGTATTGTATCTTCAATGCACCTTTTAATTTATTTTTCATGTCAAAGACGAGTATCATTACATTACATTTAAATAGAAATCAAGTGTTTTGATTGATGTAGACTCTTAATTGGATGTTATAAAACAACAAATTAATTCATTAAATTTATTAGTTATTTGTTAAAAAAGAAATTAAGTGTGTTTTGTTGAATGGAAATAAGTGCCCGTACTAATTAATTGGTGAAATATATTTCAAAAGTTTGAAAGCCATGTATTTCGGTTTTTTTATGCCTGTTACTCATTGTGTTAAAAAGTCTACATATAGTAAGTCAATTGTTTTATTTATTAGGTCAAACTTTGTAAAAGTGATTTTAACAACAACCTTTTTATATATAAACTAGTATGAATCCCGTGCGATGCACGGGTAAGAGATATTCATTAGTATTTATAAATTAAAAATGATTATTAGATAATATTTATAAATTAAAAATATTGAATTAATATGTAATACATTTACCTATATTAATTTATTGAAAATATTATATAAATTTTATATCGTGCAAAATTACATAAAACATGTCAACTTAATTAGTATACAACCCATATGGTGCACGTAACTGATAATAAATTACATTATATTTATTTCAAAATAAGTGTCATTTTAAAATATTTATTCAAAAATTCGATTGTACTACAATGTGATTCCATAAAATAATTCTTTTGGTAAAATTTTATCATATGTTTAAAAATCTATGTGAATAATAAGTACAATTATAAAACTTATAGTGTTCATTAATTAAAATGAATTTAATTTTGTATAAACTATCAAAATAAAAAAAATTAAGTTGTTGAGTAATTTATTAAACTATAGTTAATTGACTATTTCATTTATGCCTAAGTTAATATTGACACGTAAGTTATGAATAATTATTTATTTGACTTTTAAATTTGAAACCCAAATTTGAACTATACGATAAATTTCCTTTTATATATATATATATATATATATATATATATTCCCTTATATACATATTATCTCACAATTTTCTAGAGTTGTTGTCGGTTAATTTTTAAATTTTATTAACCAATATTTGTTCAAAGATGTTTATAATTTTCAAGAGGATTACATAACATTTTGTCAAATTATCATTAATATTTTTTGGCAAGTTATTATAGAAATATGCTAAATTTTGAGAAACATATTACCTTGATTTTGTAACAAATCAACCTAAAATTCGACTTTCATACCCATAAAATTTAATACCTCATAATAACAAAAAAAATCATTTTTCAATATCTTTTTGTTCGAAAAAGATACATTTATCCTTTAAAAGAGTTGGATTGCGTAGAGTTTTCATGGTGTTTTGCTTGATGAGTCTCATGATTTCTTATCAATACAGAATATCTATTTGTTCTTTATGTTTTGCTTGATTTTTTGATGAGTGGGTATACAATAAAAACTCAGAGTGTGTATGTTATTTATAGGCAAATTAAGTGTTAAATTAATAGGTGAAAAAAAAATCTTGATATTAAATGATTGGAGCGTTAGAATGATATTATCTAAATATTTGAAATGATATTCGCGTACATTACTAAAATTTGGAATGATTTGATATTATCCGTCAAATTAAACAAAAATTATATTTGGTAATATCTCTTTATTTTAGTATAAAAAAATAAATGGGCTCACTTATGCTTTTTTTTTCCTTGGGTTGCGATATTAATACATAAACTTAGCCATTTCAAAATCTTTTTAGATTAATAGTTTAGTTATCCATAAATTTATCAAATAAGTGTTTGGTGAAGATTTATCAAAATATTTTTAGATTAGTAGTTAGTTATCCACAGATTCCATCATGAGTTATCCATAGATTATTGTTCCATTATTATCTCTACACCATTAATTTTGAATTCAAATTGTGAGTAAAAAAAAAAAACTACACTATTATTGTTTTCAAGCTTTCTATAAATAAAATGTCAAAGGTATTATTTATTTGGTCAAAAATTTCCAAAAATGATTTAACCAACAACCTTTTTATATATAGATAGATATAGATATACATATCTATCTATACTTATATTAAAAGGTATACCATTTACCGGATTTAGTATAAAGAAAAGTCAACAACATTTATTGCATTACTATTTCCGTATTATACAATCTATACTTATATAAAAGGAGTTTCTATTTACTACATTTACTATCCAGAAAAGTCAACTGCATTAAATGTCATTACTATTTTGGTATTATAATATTTTATTAATTTAATTGATTTATTTATTTGTTTATTTTAAAAAGGTAATTATAATAAAAATATTTTAATAATAAAAAAATCAAATACCAAATAAAAATGTACACTTTGACTTATTTGATTATATTTGGTATTTGATTATACCAAATATATTTCTATTTAGTATATACATTAAATACTTACAAAAATATTTATTTGTTTTATTTGTCAAAGTTAAGTATAGATTTGTTTATATTATCAAATCATAAAAAAATATTAAATCCATATTGTAAAAAAAAATCATATAATTTTATAACAATTCTACTACACTATTTAAAAATATGACTTTTTTATTATATGATAAAATAATAATTAAATATTATATGGTGAACAACAATAAGTAAAACTGTTACTTTCTCTTATATCAAGGGATAAATTTATATGCTAAAATTAAATTTTTATTAGTATAAATGTTTTAGTGAGATAATATATTAATTATTTTACAAGCTAGCCCTAACATGCTCATATTTAATGTTTCAAAAGAAGTTGAAAAAAACTTATAATAACTCTATTGTTTTTTAGACTTAAACGTTGATTAAAAGAGGTAAAAATTCTAACTTTTTAGACTTAAACGTTGATTAACACCATAAATTGAGAGTTTATATTTAGTAAAATTCTTAATTGTAATAAAAAAATTAATTTTTGCTATATTTCAGAATATCTTTAAATTTATTATAAAAAAAAAAGAAAAAAAACTACAATGAAAAAAGCAAGTCAGCTATATATCGATTTGTTGTACTCCTCAAATCACATTCACAATTTGGCTATAAGGAAAGGAAACTCATTGATTAAAATATTATTTTTTCAATAGTTTTAATGTACAAGAGACTTTAAAACTTTTATTGAACATTGTACAATTTTCTTGCGTATTATAAACTTTTATTGAATATTGCATCTTATAATATAATATTCTCTAAATAAATATATCTTGTGCTTTGCACGTAATATATATCCCGTACATTTTTCTTTATTCATGTATATAATTATAAGTCTGTATAAATAGCCTTAAAATTTTGCACCCGGTGCATCGCACGGGCTCTGTACTAGTAGATATAAATTATGTACGCCTCTACCCTTCTCTTTTGGTTTTATTATCTCGTCTTTTCTGTGTTCTCATAGTCTCACCTTCAGTTCGTGCTACAAGTGATGGCGGCCATTGCTCGGTTTCATCTTCTCCACCCATCTCCATTCCCCAAATCCTCAGCGGTCGTATCAAAGTTTACTCGCCCGTCACCTTTCTTCACTGTTCACACCAACGAAGACGGCTCCCATTCCCGCCGTCACGGGGGCAACCGCAAAATTTCCACGACTTCACCTCTTCGATTCAATTCAGAGGTCTCTACATTCGTATTATGGTTACATTTTGTTTCCATTTGGTGATGTCTGTGATTGAAGTTTGGCGCTTTGAAATGTTTGACTGCAGACTAGTATTTCAAGCACTGAATCCTGCCAATCAATAATTGGCGACCTTCTGGATTACCTCAATGAGTCATGGACTCAGTTTCATGCTACTGGTATTGCGTCTTCTGTTTTTAACCTATGCGTTTTTGGGCGAATTTTCAGTTTAATTCGATTTATATTTTGTTGGTTTTAGTTTAGATGTTTGAGATAGTAATGCGTGGAATCGAGTAAACTGGTAGGAGTTAGCAAAAGGTATGAGGACAGAGGAGAGGATAGCGTGCTGGCGTGCGCGCTAGAAAATAAAGTAAGCCTCGAGCAGTTAGTGGAAAATGGATATGAACTGTTACACACATAGAATATTAGAATGTTGTGTATAATTTTCTGAGCTTAAATTAAATGACTTCAAGTTGATAATTGCAAGTGATATCACATGTTAAAGGTTTACTATACTCGAAATTTTGTAACGTTCTAGAATAGAACTAATGGAAATTGAGCACTCGATGTACTTCTGATTTTTTCAATAGGGATCAGAGTGCTTATAATGTAATGTCATATGGAAAATTGCTCAATAGTAACGGTTTGTGGAACAAAGGTAGAAAGAACAGTTGAACCCTGAAGAAGGTTTGACAGTCCTACTTCATGACAATGTCATTAAGTTGCAATGTGCAGGTTAATAATCAAATAACTTTGGCATATTACTCTCACTCTGAAAATGATTTGTGTTATAGCAACAAATGTTTTCACTTTGTTGCGAAAATCGATTCTGAAAGTTGTGCATTTACAATGATATGCTTCAAGATATTTCTCAAGTCAGTCGCTGCAAATTCCTAAACTTGAGGAATAATGAAATATCTTGTAAGAAAAGTTACAGAGTGAAATTGATTGTCCCCACGCAAAAGTTAACAGAGTGAAAATGATTATTCCTACAAACTCAGAATGGAGAAAAGTTGCTAAACCATTTACATAAAGGGGAAAAGTTAGTTCCTTGGTATTTAAAAATTTAATGAAGGGAAAGTTTGTCCCTGCAAAAGAAGTAATGTGGAAGCTAGTTGCAAAGCTATTAGGTAAAACGTTTCACATGTTTGTTAAGTCGATGAATTATAAAAATAATCTATTTTCATGCTTCTGCAGGCTTAAGTTTAAAATTGCTGATATTGAACCCATCTAAAATCACGACGGGTGACCTAACTGGATGGATTGATTGGACTATACAGAATAAAGAAATTTTAATGGTCAGTGAAATGAGCAGAATGAATTTCATAGTGTGAATATCATCTCGTTTTTAGAATCTCATCATAATTTTAAAATCAACAATGAAACTGGTTTTAGAAAGTTGTTGTAGATTGTTTACGTTTAATGTGGGAATAGGTATATGACTCACAGAAACGTCTTTAAGTACACTGCACATAACAGCTCAATATATGACTCCCAGAAATGTCTTCACTGCACATAACAGCTCAATATATTCTTTTCAAAGTTCAATCTATTCCATGAAAAAAAAGACAAATTTTTATGTTAATCTGTTTGAAATTTGCTGTAACTGTTACTCAATCCATTTTTTAGCTGAAGCAAAACGACAACTTGTTGCTGCTGGGTTCCGATTGCTGAATGAGAATGAAGAGTGGGAACTGAAGCCTGGGGGACGATATGTTTTTACACGAAACATGTCTTCATTAGTTGCGTTTGCCATTGGTGAAAAGTGAGTAATTCTCATGCATTATGCTCCAGATTTTAATTTTCCTGAGGCACAGAATTTGTAAAGATAAATTGTCTGGATACATTTGTAGCTACTCCAATTAACTTAGTTGTGATGTGTTCTTTCTCGGTTTCTCGACATCAAAACATTTGCCTCTGTTTTCTATTCGACGTTGGTTAATGAAATCCTTATATTAGTCTTGCAGGTATGCAGTTGGCAGTGGTTTTCATGTGATTGCTGCGCATACCGATAGTCCATGCCTCAAACTAAAGCCAAAATCTGCATCATCCAAATCTGGATATCTTATGGTTAACGTTCAAACTTATGGTGGTGGTTTGTGGCACACGTGGTTCGATAGAGACCTAAGTCTGGCTGGAAGGGTTATTACTAGAGCTGATGATGGTTCCTTTTCACATAAACTAGTCAAGATAAAACGTCCTTTGTTGCGAGTGCCTACACTTGCTATTCATCTTGACAGGTATTTGTTTCTCCCCAAAGAGTCGGCCCATACATTGTTTTCTATTTTCTTGCTACCCACATAGCCTCTGAATTAAATTAATGTTAGCGACTCATGGATACAAAACGCATTTTTCCTGTGATTGAGTGGTTATGGATTGTTAGTAGTTTATATTGATATCCTTTTTATATTTTAAGGGTTATACTCAACTGATAAGATCTTTTCTATTGGAGAGCCAAAGTACATGCTAGTTTGTAATCTTTATCGTTGGTTCTTTAAATCAAAGGAAGAATCTAGTTGTTATGAAGATGCCCATATATATAGACTTAGGACCTTTAGTATATATGAGCTGGGTCTATAATATACTTAACACCCAACTTTGAGGTGGAGGATCCGAAGCATTGAGTTTGAGAAAGTGAAGCCGATGCTGCTCTCTAGTTTGTGCTTTCGTGAAAAAATCTGCCACTTGCAGTCCTAACGGCACATGCTGAAGAACAATGCTTTCTGATGACAATGCCGGGTAAAGGAAGCATTAACACCAATGTGTTTTGTAAGTTCATGCTTCACTAGATTATGGCAATTTGGATTGCTCCAGTATTAGCACAAAGAAGAAGTATAGTATTATCACAAAGAAGAGGTGTAGGAGCATCGCATGGAACACTAAAATTGGTTAACAACCATCAAAGCCATATAGTGAGGTGGTAGTAGTAAGTGCTCGAAGTTTTGCCTCTGTGCTAGATTGTGATTGTTGTGATTGAGATACAACTGCTTGCTTCTTGAACTTCTATGTAAGATGAGAAGAACAAAGAAAAATGCAATAACTGACAACGAAGAACGAAGAACGACGATATGTTAGATTACTTGCCTAAGTGGAGTCAGAGTAAACAGAAGCGTACTATCATGAGCATATAATAAACACCAAGATGATGTTTCACTTAAGTACCATAGCACACGAAGCAAATGCCCAAAATGAACCAAAGTAGGAGCACTCACAAATTGACGAACAAAAACAATAAGGTAAACGTCTGCCTAGTATATGTCGATAGAGAGAGGGATCCTCAAGAGCCAAGATCCAAAGGCCGCTGTCTGATTATCAGTGATACGAGAACGAGCAAGAAGGTCTTATATGTATTTGAACTGAGAAAGGTAGTAACTCGAGGCATAATGCATCACCTCAATGCCTAAAAAGTAGATAAGAGGACCCAAATCGAACATCTAAAATTGCTGATGAGTTACTTCTTGACATGAGAAACATGTTCGACATTATCTCCCATAATCAACATATCATCTCAACATGTCATCAACATAGAAGAAGAAGTAGAGTACGCCCATGTGGAGAGAAATGAATAAACAAGGTAGGATCATGATCACTAGGGAAATACTAGTAGTATACAGAGGCCAAGCATGTGGAGCTTGTTTGAGACCATATAATGCGCGACGAAGATGACAAACATGTCCGGAGGGGGCATCAACACACAGTGGTGGCTGCATATAAACTTCCTTATGTAGAGCACCATGAAAGAAAGTATTTTTCACATCTTTGTGAGATATGGTCAAAGAACGACTAGCAGCCTTGCGATCAAAGTACGGACTATAGTCATGTGAGCAACGGGAGCAAAAATTTCATGATTATTTTGCCCGTGAGTCTGCTGAAAGCCTCTAGCAACAAGACGAGCTTTATATCTCTTTATGGAACCATTTGACTTGGTCATAATCTTAAAAGACCACTTATAGGTGATAAGGTGATAGGTACGACATGCGAACAAGATCTCAAGTGCCAATACAATCAAGTGCAGCAACCTCCTCGAACATACCCAATTGCCACTCCGGAATACTCAAAGCTTCCTGATAGATTGAGATCTCATCAATAGTAGCACCCGCACGTGGAAAACCCGAGAGCTCATCAATAGTAGCACCCGCACGTGGAAAATCCAAACTATCAGGAGGCTCAATAGTAGAACGATCACGTAAATAATATCTCTGACCAACCTCGTATTCTCCAGAATAGCATTTGGCGGCACGTCAGAATCAACAGAATCATCAAGGATGGGGGCATTAGGACTGGCCGAGGTAGTAGAATGAGGCAAAAGTGTTGTGTGACCTTTGGGACGATGAGTATAGACTTGTGTGATGGGTTGTTTATGTGGTGGAGGCTCATGAGGTGGTGCAGGCTCATCATGAGTGGAAGATGGAGAAGAGACACAGACATCATTAGAAAGGAAATAGGAGGAAACCATAAATATGATGTAGACTCAAGAAGAAGATGTGGGTTGAGTAGAAGGGTTATAAAAAGGACGATCCTCGACAAAGGTTACATCACGAGATATACGCATGCAACGAGTGGAAGAATCATAACTATAATAACCCTTATGCTCATGACTATACCCAAAAAAAACACACTCAACCGACTGAGTAGTCAGTTTAACTGTGTTCATGAGGAGCAAACAACATATGTACATCCGAAAACCTGAAGATGATCATAGCTAAGGGGAATACCAAAAAGAACCTCACTAGGACTACCTACAGTTTGGAAGATGGTTGTCGGTTGATAAGATAAATGGCTGTAGACACAACTTCTCCCCAAAAATGAGAAGGAACAAAGGAGGCAATGAGAAGAGTTCTAATAGTGTCAATGAAATTTGAGATGACATGACATTGTTTTCTTTCTGCAACACCATTCTAAGCATATGTGCATGAGGAGAGTTGGGAAGAGTGCCCTCACAGGTAAAAACATACGAATATTGTTACATAAATACTCACCACCAGAATCATAATGAAAACTTGAATAGGAGTAGAAAATTGAGTAGGGATCATGCGAGCAAAATCCTTATAAATAAATCCAAGTATATAGAGAATGGTCCTCAATAAAAAGAAAATAATATTTATTGTCAATATTTGTAGGAAAAGTGGACGGACCCCATACATCAGCGAATAACCCTTACAATGAAACTAGTCTCCATAGATGTACGACCTAAATAACCAGTACTAATCAAAGTAGACAAACGAGCCCCACTCAAATGACCAAGACAATGATGCCACTTAGCTAAGGATGAGGTGGAAGACGAGACAACGGATGACACACGAGCTGTAGAACCAGTGGAAGAGGATGTGAGAAATTCACTTACGAAGATGCCCATATATAGACTTAGGGCCTTTAGTACTTGTGGGATGGGCTTATAATATACTTTAACACTAGTATCAGTTGTGTAGCTTTCCATTATTTGGATTGATTTGTCTTTTAGAATCTGTATGTGATGGGTCCCATCTTCACTCTGGACAATTGGGTGCTCACTATATTTTGTGATAACTTGAAGAATTAGTTGCAATCATGCATGTACTAATTAATATGTGAAGTGAAGTCCTAATATAATTTATTTAAAATAAAATCTAACTGTTTGATTCTTGGGCACTATTTAAGAATTTCAATGGTTTGCAGCATATTCATCTTGAGTCCTGTTTCATTAAACAACTGTGTTAGATTTTCTGTTTCTTATACATATTGTGGATGCATTGATGTTTGTGACTTTTTTGTTTGCTTCGTGATTGGCAGGGCAGTAAATATTGAAGGGTTTAAACCGAATCTTGAGACCCACCTTATCCCTCTTTTAGCTGTAAAGGCTGACAAAACATCCTCTGAGCTTGATGCAAAAGCTAGTGCATCATCTTCAGATGATTCTCACCACCACCAGTTGCTCATGCAGGTATCTTCCTGTTCTCATTCTCCGGTCCTAGTGTATGTGCAAAACTCTAGTAAAGTTCCAATGAAGCTGTAATGGAGTTTAACGTGCTGTGATGCTTCAATATGTTGGTTTAGCATGTGGATGTTTTCATTCTGATGGGTTGCTAATTGTATTTATTTTTGCATAAAAGTACTTCATGTATGCAGAAAGACTTATTCAGGGGATGCATACTTTAAGTAACATTTTTAGATTTTTTTAAATCCAATTTTTTTATTTTCTTTGTTCTATTTTAGTGGTCCTTAGAAATCTTAAAGAGATTGTATTCATTTAATTTGATTCAAATGACATTTTAAGACTTTTTTTTTTGGCTTTTTAAGATTTGTAGATTTTAGTGAAATCCTTAATAATCTTAAGCCTAAAGGGTGGGATTTGATATATGATATTTGTGTTTGAAATCTTAGCAAATCGTGAAAAGTTCTGACAAATCGCAGTGTCAATAAGTTCAAAACATCATGACTTTTTAAAACATTTTAAAATCTCAATTGAATACTTCAAGACTTTTAAAAGTTAAATACACCAGGATATTTAAAATTTGTAAAGGTCTTTAGTAATCCTAAATAAATACCCCTCTTAAGTCTAGAGACGAATATTTGATGAGGGACTTGGTATATATTTTATCTTTGAAATCTAATTAAGTCTTAAAAAATCCAAGCAAATCCCAGTGGTATACTATATAAGTTGATTACCTTACGACTTTTTAAAATGTCAATTAAATAACTCAAGACTTTTAGAAGTTTTAATTAAATACACCAAGATTCTTAGCGTGTGATTGGATATAGATTTTATTAATTTTTTTGGTTAACCATAATTAATTTTGAAAAAGTGGTTGGGTTAGGTTTGAATGAGATCTTGAGTTTGTATTAAAACAATATTCAAAATAAAATTATTAAAGTTTATTTGATGTAAAAGTAGGAGAAAGGTGATTGAAAGTGATATGTAGTTCAAATTATGTGATTGAATTTATAGTGAAGTGAAGTTGATGTGATGTGTAAGGATGATTGATTAATATTATTTAGTTATATTGATAATATTGAGATAATGAGATTGAATTGAGTTAAAAAGTGGTTGGGTTAAAATGATTGGTAATTTCTAGGCAAATCCATATCCAATCACCCTCTTAAAATCTCAAAATCTCTAAGAATCCAAAGTAATAAATCTCATTAGATTGCCAAACAAATGGTCTTATTCATGTAAATGAGTACCTCCATTTTCTTCTGATAATAAAAGTTCTGAATTGGTGAGGCATGCTAAGTCATTATAGTTCAAAGTTTTTCAACTTTGGGTGCGTAAGTTGATTATTAGAAGAGTTTGAGCTTCCGGAATGGACATAAATGCACATTGTCCACATTGTGCCTAAGTTGAGATTATGGCTTGCTTAGTTTACTTTCATGAGCATTTTCCATGTGCAGTATTTTTGGCGAACCTTGACTATTTTCATGAGAAATTGGATATGTTGTTGGATAATAATAATAATAGTAAAATTGGTTATTTTTGGTTGACTTTGATTATTTTATTTAATTGTGATAATTTATTAAGATAATTGGTAGGTGACGGTCCAATTGGATTATTTAAATGTTGATATCTAGAAAAATACTATACTGATTAGATTCAGGTGGGTACAGTGGGTTCAAGAGTGTAGCATGTGGTTGAAACCTGAAAATGTTAACTTGGAAGTGTTTTTACTCGAAACATGAGAAGATGCAAAGGACCAAATTTATATTGTTAGGTTGCACAACCGGCGCAATGCACCTTGGGTCGCTACGGAAACAGCCTCCTTGTATAATTACAAGGGTAAGGTCTGCGTGCAACTGACCCCCCAGACCCCAACCTGTTGGGAATATACTGGGTATGTTGTTGTTGTTAGGTTGCACAACCGGATTTGAATTTTTTGAATAATATAAAGTGCTAAACCAATATAGGGCATAATCTAAACAAACAGGGTCGCGTTTAATGGTAAGTTGGTAACACAAATCCCGGTGTAGGAATTAAACCCTATGCTATTTTATGTTGTATGTAATGCTATCGTTGTCCCGTTATTAAAGGGTGGAGTATTAATAGCATCAACTTGTTGGAATTGATATTCTGCCATCACTATGCTCTAATATCAATGTAAAACCCTAGTAATTGCATCACATTGTACGTATTATGTCATAATTTTAAGTTCTCATGTTAGGATTTAATCCTCACTAGTAGTTGTGTTGATTAAAAAGTTAATACTTAAAAATTTATGAAACAGATAAAAATATAAGTACATAATATTAAATTTTCAAATATTGTTTTTTTGAAAAATGCATTATTATTTTTATTCAAAACAACATCCTCGCCTGTAAGTCTTGCTCGTCCTATATTATAATAATTTTCAAATTCACATCATCATACAATATCATTGAATGATAAATTTATTATTTTTCAAGTAGAATTGGTAGATAATTTAACATTTCTTTATAAAAGTAAATATAATTGCCATTTTTGTTTCCTAATGTCAAATCGAAGATTGTTAAAAGATGATTTATTTAATATTTCATATTTGAAAAACTGATAACAGATAAAAAAGTTACTCAGTTTTAAAATATATATATAATTTAAGTTAGCCTAGTGTTTTGTATTACAAAAAGTCCTAATAATAGACTGACACATGATTACGAAGCACCAGAATTGACACTAAAGCTCTAAGAAACAATACAACTATATATATTGGAGAGATTTGATATATTTCTTGAAACCTGAAAACTGTTTCCGGGCTCAACTTTTTCAGAGTTTCAATACAGAATTCAACATTTTTTCTGTTTAGAAATTATGTGGTGGTTTGCTTGTTTTAGAGTGAAATAGACAAAAATAAAAATCCTAGTTTCCAATATTTCCTTATTATATATATTGCTATATTTATGTGACACTTACACCAACTGGAAGATGGTTTTCTATCAGAATCATCCAATGTTTGGTTTCTATTAATGGTATCATTTAAGCAAAATAGTTGCCTGTTTAGGAAAGCTTTCCAGGTATGTGCCACAACATTATTCTTTGGAGAATTATAGACGAATACAACCTTTCCGAGTTGAAATTAATCAAACAATTTAGATTCAAGAATAACTGCTTCTGGCATACTAGATATGATCTAACTGCCGTTTGTCTTCATATGTTAATTGGAGAATCATTGGGAAGCAGCGTAGATCACCAGCTAAGGCTCAGAAATGATTGACACGATGAAGGAAGTGTCGATGGACATTCTTTTCACATATGATTCCAGCTTGTCTCATACTATGCATTTGCATTCCATGCTAGTAGTATTTACGTGGTTCTTTCTCTGGATAATGTTGTTTTCACCAAGTCATGGTTGCTTGAATAAATTATATTACATTGGGGGTTATTTCATGTTATGGAATGTGGATGGATTCTTAGATATATTTGCAAAACATTTGGGGCATATGGCTCATACACATCATTTCTCAGATCTTGTCGGATGAGTTGGGCTGTAATGTTCAAGATATTGCCAGCATGGAATTAAACGTCTGTGATACCCAGGCCAGTTGTCTTGGAGGCGCTAATGATGAGTTCATTTTCTCTGGAAGATTAGATAATCTGGCTTCAAGTTTTTGTGCATTGAGAGCTCTTGTGGATGCCTGTACCTTACCTGAAGATCTAGCTGATGAAAATGCTATTCGGATGGTTGCATTATTTGATAATGAGGAGGTAAGTTACTGTTACTGGAGAGGTTGTTATTCCTGCAGAAAAAAACCAATGCATCAAACTCTTATATTTCATTTCAAGTTTGGTGTAAGAATCGATGTGGTCCTTTTGACCTAGGGACTCTAAAGCAACAGGAGAACTATACTCACTACAGGTCAAGGGTTACATTAGTGACAGACAATTCATTCATATTGTTTTGTTTGGGACACTTGCAGATTATATAGGGGTACCACTAGCAAGCTTTCCGTGAAAAATTCAGTAGCCCTGTATACTAGGTCATGGTTTAAATGTATCCCTGAGGAGGTGGTTATGAAGATGGGATTAAACATTAAATATATATATGTGTGTGTGAGAGAGAGAGAGAGTTTTGGTGAAGTGCAATAGAAAGAGTAGCTAAAAAGTGGCTTATTAGATTTTCCATGTTTCTATTCCATGTAAGGTGCTACATTTTCTACCATGATTAATTGATAAAATATCTATGTAGAAGTTAATGCAAAAAGATAATATTGTATCTTTCATTGTGGTTTTCTTTGAGTAGGACCTAAGGTTGTAGAATCAATTTTCTTTGGTGTGCCATACGAAAGAAAAATTCCTGTCATAGATGGGTAGAGCATTGATCTATTTTTTTTCTCATGCCTCTTTCTTCTTTTCTAACTTGTTTTGTTAATAATAAGTTCACATGTTATAGGTCGGTTCAGATTCATACCAGGGGGCAGGTGCACCAACAATGTTTGAGGCCATGAGACGAATTATTGCTTGTTTGGGTGAGCAGTCCGTAGGAGAATGCGGCTTTGCGCGAGCCATTCGTCACTCTTTCCTTGGTACTTCGACCTTTTTACATAGTATTATATCGATTTCTTTTTTCTCCCCTCATACCTGTCAAATGTAGTTTTCTGTTTTGATGTAGATGAAACATTTGTTGAGTTCGTCTTACATAGGCTGCATTCGTAAAGCTAGGTTGACTTTGTTATCTTTTGTTCTTCAAATGTTTTAGTCCTAATTGGAGCATAAATATTCTTTTAACAATTATTTTTTTGTTCTTTGCCTACTGGTTGGTGGGAAAAGAAATGGCCAGGTTAGCAACTTGAAGAACTTCTTAGAACACCAAGAAATGATAGAATCATTGTTTTCATTGATCCATGCTCAAATTCAAGAACATCTTATGCTAATCCACATTCTTCTTTTTTTTTTTTTTTTTTTTGTTTTTGTTTGTGTGTTTGTTTTTTTACTCTTTTCTTCAGTGTCAGCCGACATGGCTCACGGAGTGCACCCTAATTTTTCTGACAAACACGAAGAAAACCACAGGCCAGTGTTGCAAAAGGGACTTGTAATAAAGCATAATGCTAATCAACGTTATGCTACAAGTGGAGTTACATCTTTCCTCTTCAAAGAAGTTGCTAAAATACACAATCTTCCTATTCAGGTAATCTGTTGTACACTTGAATAAATGCATCTCAACAAGGAAACAGATGGAATCTGACAATATTTTTCTTGTGTACTCGCTTTAATTCCCTTCCTCTTGTTTTACTGGTTTTAGTGTACGTAATTGAACATTCGGAGGATAACAAATGCAGCACTTGACTCCATTGCATTGCATTTGGTTTGCGCAGGAATTTGTTGTAAGAAATGATATGGGGTGTGGGTCCACTATAGGACCCATATTGGCTTCGGGAGTTGGAATTCGTACGGTTGATTGTGGCATACCTCAGCTATCCATGCATAGGTCACCATTTCACACTTTTATTCCAATTCAAGCTGTGATATTATTAAATTCATTTTTTTTTTCCCTCATCATTCTTTCAATTTCCAGTGTGAGGGAAGTATGTGGGAAGGAAGACGTGGAAATTGCTTACAGGCACTTCAAGGCATTTTATAAAACCTTCTCAAGCATTGACAAGAAGCTGAGCGTGGATTTCTAGATTGTCCGTGTCGAAATCTATCTATCTATCTATATATATCTAAACAATTATAAAATAAGTGATTTTGTAAAAATTGCACGGACTAGATAATCTTTATATTTGTTATACTAGTCCAACATCCGTGTATTATACGGGTGCTTGTTAAAATATTTATTCTTAGATTTTAAATTAATGAGAAAAAAGTATTTAAAATTTAAATATATTTAAAAAATATTAACTTCATATTTTTTTTATAGATGTAATTGGGTTGATGGTTGAAAACGTAGCCGTTCAAATAAACGAGGTTGATGGCGTTCTATTATAAACGATTGTGTTTTTTCTTATGGATCTAGAGTAAGAATTTATTTTATTTAATTTTATTACACGCTTTTCTTATTTTTTTTTTATTTTTTTTTTTTGTAATAAAATTTATGTTGACCATTTTTTTTGAATAATTGTTTAGGAGGGACAAGTTTGATTGCATACTTTGGGTGATTACGTTCATCGACTTTTGAAAATTTAAAATGAATATAGCAATGAACGTCAACCACCGGTGCTCATTATGCATCTTTGCCGAACTAAGCCACGGGGATATATTTTTTTAAATACATTAAATCATATATTTTGTTTGGCCACTTAGACTAAAAATAGTTATAATATTTATGTTACAATATGTCAACACATGATTTAATTTAATATATTTAATATTTTAGATAAAATTAAATTAACTACTTCAAAGAATGTTACAAAGCTAATTGTTGTACATAGTGTTCTTGCGATTCGAGCTTTCATTCGGAGGTTGGGCATTGATTTCACAATTTTAAGTTTTCGGTACTTAATATTATATCATACCCACATATTACAAATTTTATTTTGCAGGTTGGATCAAGATAATATGCGCTTGAGCATTTGGTCTCGCATATTAGATTAGTTGTGAAAGATCAAGGTATTGATTGGATCTAATGTAGGAGATGAGGTGTTGATACCTCGGAGTCTCCAGAAATTTGGAGGCCCCAGACAATTTTTTTTTTTTTTTTTTCGAAGTTCCCAATTTGAATTTGTGTAGTAAGCAGGGAAGAAAAAAACAGCTAATTCAACAAGGCAAGCTAAATAAATAAATAATTGAAAAAGAAATAATTTTTCTTGTTTTTCATCAATCCTGAAATATATCTTGAAAATGATAAATTATCTCTGGAGTTTAGAGAGATATTTAATAAATTATATTGAAGCAGTCACGAGGACATTAAGATAAAAAATAAAAAATAATATCACTGAAACTAATTATTCTAATAAAAATTGTTCATACCAAACATCATAAGAAAACAAATGAAGGTTTTCAAATTCACAAACGAATTACATATTTAACCATTAGCCTTTTTATTAATTAGCTTCTTCATTTGTGTAGTGGACCAAGTCCATATTTAGTCATTAGCCCTTAACTCTTTATTAATTAATATCTTTATTTGTGTAATGGGCTAAGTCAATATTTAGTCATTACTCATTCATTAATTAGGCCACTTCATTTATTTAAATGGATCAAACCCAACACAAATGCATAGTATTAACCAACAAAAAAAAAAAAAAATGTGGCCCCAAATAAATTGAGGCCCTAGGCAAGAGCCTCTCTGCCTCCCCACTGGAGCCGGCACTGCTCGGATGACTCTAACACCTTCTGACGTTATAGTACCTTTGAAATTTTGGCAGAGAAAATTTTCCCTAATGATTTCTTATGCAACGACAAGTAAACAAGAGTCAGAGTCAATCTTTATCACATGTTGACAAGAAGATGTTGTTTAATCACAACCAATTGTATGTAGTTGTTTCCTGTGTCGCTAATCAAAAATCTTGAAAATATTAGTTTGCGGAGAGGATGTTGTGGCTACAAGGCAAACAAGAAATATTGTCTACAAAAAGGTTTTTAATAATATATGATAATTTTTTTATTCTATTTATTTAAATTTTATATTCACAAATATAATAATAGGGTGTGGTAAATTGCCATCAAACTATTCACCTCAGGCATCGCATGGGTTTTGCACTAATACTAATATAAAAAGGTTGTTGGTAAAATTATTTGTTAGTAACTTTGACTAAAAAAATAAATGAGTTGACTTACTATCTATAGTTAATACTACAAAAACATGTGATATAATGCTTTCAGATTTTCAGCCAATTTGCATTGATATTATTTACCTATTTTTTAGTAACTAAATTGTTTAAATTTAGTAAAAAAAAAATGTGAAGTATACCATTTAAAGATTAAAATACATCATATCACTTTCATATCCAATTATTTTGGGAGAAAGTACATCATATCACTTTCACATCACTTTTTTTAAGAAAAATCGTTAAAATCACTTTCATTTCCAATAAATCAGTTTTGTTTTTGTTTTCTAAAACTCTAAAATCAATTCCATAGCCAATTATTTTAGGGAAAATCAGGCTGTTTTTAACATGATTTTCACACAAAAATCTGAAGTAAATAATCTATATTTTTTTATACTCCCATTTAACACAATTTTTACACTGTTTTTCAAACTTTTTTTTACCCCCCCCAAAATAAAATTATTTAACACAATTAGTAGTCCAAGCATGTCATTGACTTTTTCTCAGCATGTAGTGCTTGATATGTCCGCAAAATCTGAAAATTAGGTTATCAATAAGAACACAAAATAATAATTTATTTTAAGATGCACATTTATTTTAATTAGAACTTTTAAATACATAAATATGTGTTCTTTTTTTAATTCAAAATCGGTACATTAGTATTAATGTTATTTAGTTAAATATTTTATTACTTTCTACCAATATATTTTCAATTTTATCAAATATAGTATTATTATTATTATTATTATTTTATTTAAATAAACAAGTAATATTAAATAATATTTTATCTTATGTGATTATATTAATTGTAGCCTAATAAATAAGATACTTTAATAACAACATCAATATATAAAACACGGAAAAAGAATGACACAATACATATATATATGCTCTCATTATTTTAACAAATAAAATATTTTTGAGAATAGAATAAGAAACAAATGAAACAATAGCAACATAATGGGGGAAAAAAAGTCTGATTTTTTTCAGAGAAATCTGAATAACAATATCTATAAATAAAAGTATTTTAAATTACTACATTTTTTTGTTGCTAGCATTTAAATTCTCATAAATGATGATCCTATATCATCAATTTTGAATTTTTAATTAACTAAAAATTAAAAACTTTGTAATACATAATGTAGATTTTAAGAATAACTTGTAATAATAAAGTTCAAATGTGACTAAGAATGTCATATTTTCTCCCCTCGAACATTTTAACAAATGATACGTTTCTCAATATTGTTTTTTATATTTGTTATTGTTGAAGAATCAAGAAAAGATATTTAACTTAAATTTTTGAAACATTATGTATGATGCAAAGATTTGAAAAATGAAGGTATTAAAGAAGTTATTAGGCATATAATTATTGAAAATTCGAACGAATGTTAAAGATATTATGAAAAACAAATATAAAATCATTGCAACAACCAAGATGGTCAATGATTTGCAAACAATATATTATATAAGTAACATTGAAAAAGGAATGTCGGAGTCTGATCAAACTATTTTGAATATTCGAATGAAGTTGTCACTATTTGATAGAAATATTTACAATTTCATTGATGTATTTTTCTCGAACATATGTGCAATAATTTAAAGTATATATTTACATGTAATGTTTGATGATTTCAAAAAATAATTTAGCTTTCATTAATGTGTGATGATTTCAAAAAATAATTTAGCGTCTCGAGAGAAGTATATGTAACTACGATTTTGAAATTTCAACTTTTGTTTGGAGATAATAAAACTCATTATCACCCGTGGGCGATGCTTCCATGGGGTAGTTACCAATTTGTCTATATGGAGAGAGAATAATGTAGTAGTTTATACAATGATAAAAAAATATAAGCAATTTTAACGAAACAATTGGTTATGTCACAAAGATATTTATGAATTGTGACACGGTTAGTTATTTCATAGAGACATTTATGAACGGTTAGTATATGTAACCGTGATTTTGAAAGGTCAATTTTTTTGGAGGTAAAATTCATTCTCACCCTGTGGGCGATGCCTCCATGGGATAGGTATCGATTTGTTTATATATATGGAGAGAGAATAATGTAATAGTTTATACAATGATAAAAAAATATCAGAAATTTTAATGACACGGTTAGTTATTTCACAAAGATATTTCATGAACTATTAGTAGAAGCACCTTATAAAGAAAATACAATCATGAAGCTTGACTATATGTTTGTCCTAACTATATCTAATTATTTGAATAAAATAGACTTTTTGCCTAACGAATTAAGAAGAATTTTTGCCTAGCTTTCTTGTATTGAGCTCCAATGAGTATGAATGTTTTTTATGAGAACGTCAAAATTAAAATGAAAGAAATTACTCATGAACCATCTAACATAAATAAATAAAAGAAATAATGCATCTATAATATACATTAAGTCATTATTTAGTTTTTCAGTGTCTTTTTTCTTAATTATATTAGGGCATCGTTATATTATTTTTGAAAAATAAAATATATTAGGAGCTCATTTGTTTTATATTTTATTTGATTCCTGCAATGATATGTTTAATAAATTAATTAATTTATTTTACTAAACCTAATCGGTAAAAAATATTTACCTCCACGTGTATCGTACGTGCACATTGCTAGTCTAGAAAACAAGCGAACATATATTTCTTCCAAAATGGTGTACGGGAAAAACAATAGCATGATCATTCAATGGGTCCAATATATGCATACGGTAAGTCAAGGTCGTCTTTTTTTTTTTTTTTATAATATATATATTTTATTTTTTAAGTCAAGGTCGTCCTTTATTTTTAATATATATATTAATTTCTCAAGTCAATTTCGTCTTACAGCTCAAACATTTTATATTTTTTTCTTTCATTATCAGATGAAGAGATACGTCAGTGTTTGCCCGTGTTCACACATTAAGTTGATAGGTTGCAGCAGATTTACACCTTAAGTTGAACTATCATGCAACGCAAGTGCATGCATTGATGCATATATCACTCAGATTGATATGTATAAGTATTGTTTTTACACCTGACACAAATAATAGAAAATTTAGTAAAGCAATTCCAATAATACTTCTTTGAATTGTAAATAAGTGAACCATA